GAAATGATTTATATTGTAGGTACACACCTGGGCTTCCAGCCTGTTTGGCAACCTCACATGCTGATTCGAAGACCACCATTTTTATGGTGTTCCTTCAGATGACATATTTTATGCAAATTTTGTATACTATAGGAGTATAACCATAAAAACTACTTATGAATAAGAATGAGCGAGGACTTGTGAATGACGCGCATAAGAACCAAAAACCTGTGGTTGCTAGCGGAAAATTGTTATCAGTAACCTTTAACCTTACCGACTTCCCAGGTGGTTTTTTGATGGTTGAAATATTTGTGTTGAAAATCGAAAACACTGTATTTCCGCTGTTGATTGGAAACTGGATATATGCTGTGTTTCCGTTTGACATTGAGTCATAACTCTCTTGGTGTTCGGACAACGAAAGTTGCAAAAAACAATTTTTCTACAAGCGTGCGTGATTCACCCTATACCCGCACGCAATTTAGTTTGGGAAGTGTCATTTTCCCGCAACATTGCCGGAAAATTTTTCCACACTAGTGCGGGCCGCTCGCTACCCTTAACTGATCACCCTGTACAACAGCACAATGAGAAGGCATGCTCGAATTGATGAATAGCGCAAAATACACTATTCGTATGCCAAAATATTGTGAAAAACTATTTCAGTCCTTCGATTCCTCCGTAAACAAATAAAAAAAGTGAGGTTGTGTTTCAATGTTTCACAGAAGAGTGAGGTTGTGTTTCAATGTTTCACAGAAGAGTGAGGTTGTGTTTCAATATTTCACCGACAGGGTTGGTTGGCCCTTACAGATACACTTTGATCTCAGCTCTCTCTGACACGAGGGAGCAATTTCGGACAATTTTTCGACAGTAACGAAACACTTTCCACTATTACAAGGGAAAAATAATAATAATTATTGTTTTATTCATGTTTTATGTGAGTATCATTTCTCAACTGGAGTATTTTCAACAAATCGATTATAGCAGATAAATATAATAATCAACAACATATTCCTAAATCCTAATGTAAACTGGGCGTCAATTGAAACGTTAATAGTGAAATTTGGCATCAAGTTTGACTTCTCGTAATTTCTAAAATATTGAACGAATTTTGAAATTCTGAATGCCTTTTTCATCGTCTTCCGAACCATTCCTTACAGCTTCTTCTAAATTGATCAGGACTCGTGATACAGGGTGAAACAAAGTTTCGTGCATTTTGAAAAAAATTTCTCCGACCCCCCATTGCGTCGGAAGACCACGATGCTTATATTTCATTCAGGCATTTCATAAATAGCAACCATACCTCGGGACGTTTTCGAGTTTTTGACAAAAACTACTGTGGTTTCCGAAAAAAAAAATTTTTTGATTTTTTTTCAAATGAACTGATTACCTGTATCCTCAGAACGATGAATCAGTCTATTTATTGTCATGACTGACTTATTGAAAATTGTACTTAAATGAGTTTGGGTATATCCTAATCGTCGTAGCCTGAAATAATAATTATCTGTACTGAATTATTGAACGAGGCATCTTTAAATTTTGTAGGACCCGAATTACACTGACGTTTTTAATGAAAATTGGCAATTGATATAACCTCTATTCCTCTATGCATATCTACATTGTTTCAACAATACGTTGTTATAGAAACAAGGTATCATTGTTTGTTTTTGTTGATGAGATGTGTTGATTTACTGCTCAATAAGGTAGACAACTTTTATCATAGACTGCAAAGTAATAAATTATTGATCGTTTTTTAGTAACCTGGTATACATATCTGCTCCAACGCTTTCCTGAAATGCATAATAGCATCCATTTATGGAACTCATCTAAAATTAGTCCATTCAAAAAAATACAAAAAAAAATTGTTTTCGGAAACCACAGTAGTTTTTGACAAAAACTCGAAAACGTCCCGAGGTATGGTTGCTATTCATGAAATGCCTGAATAAAATATGAGCATCGTGGTCTTCCGGCAAAATGGGGGGGCAGAGAAATTTTTTTCAAAATGCACGAAACTTTGTTTCACCCTGTATCACGGGTCCTGATCAACTCGGAAGAAGCTGTAGGAAATGGTTCGAAAGACGATGAAAAAGGCATTCAGAATCTGGGCGGCAATTCAAAATTCGTTCAATATTTCAGAAATTACGAGAAGTCAAACTTGATGCCAAATTTCACTATTAACGTTTCAATTGACGCCCAGTTTATATAATTAAAATAATTTAGCTTGTACTTACTACCATTAGGATTAATATTCATTCCATAGTTTCGGAATCATAGATTGTGAAATGAACATAAATACAAAATTCACTGTTAACTACCTATTTGACAATATATTACCTCATTATTATAATAATATCTATAGGTAACTTCAATCCTATATACAAAAATTATGGTTCCTAAAATTCGACAACTATAAACGTAACAGTAATGTTAATATAATGAATATTCTAATCAATAGGAAAGTTCTAATATTCCGTAACGTAATGTTGGGCAGGAGGTCTCCTCTGTTGAAGAGAGATGTTAATTTCTTCGGGTGATCTGAATACTTGCCCATGTGCAAGGTGTGGCCTCAAAGTTGTTGGGGATGCGTACTGAAGCCGTGGTTGTCCAGTAACTCGAATCTGAGAAGTTCAATTGCAAATGAGAATGAAAACGGCAACTCCATGAAAGCACATCGATGAGATATCGGAAACTATCTAATTTATATACAGCTCCTGAGGATCAGTGATTCAATCTATATATGACACTCAAACTGTATTATAATTATTCCCAGCCAGCACAGAATATTCTATTATAATGTTCTCACAACGTTCACAACATACCTCCTTCAGAATATTCCAAAGAATATTTATAGAATATAATGAGGATCTCCTGGATGGTCATAGAATGTTTCACGAGAATATTCATAGAATATTTCATCGAAATATCCTAAAAACATTCCTAGAATATTTCATTATATTCTTTGAATGTTATTCAGGAATGAATGTATTGTTCGAATATTCTGAGTATATTCTCCAAGTATGTTCATAGAATATATTATTTAGATTCTTTCGTTTTTGAGCTACAGGGAGTCAAATTTTCCAGAAAAAAATGATTTTTCATTGAATATTCAAAATATTTTTCGCTAATTTTGATAAAACTCACTCATGCCCATCTGCGGTAGCAATGTGGATTAATGAGAAATCAAATTTACCGCTCTTTTTTTCAATTACTTTCTCCCTATTCGTTAGGGGCGCTAAAATCCATATATGCTTCCAAACATTATGTCCTGGTCTGATTATGTCTGAATTACCGGGATTGAAGGCGTTCCTACCTAAATCATCGAAAAATATAACCATCAGAAAGATCGTAGAATGGAGCAATAGCAACCTACGAATTGTGACATAGCGAGTCTAAGATTCAACATATTTGGTTTCACCAGTACCGATTTCAGGAAAATCTCAACTCATCGGCCATGGACTGTTAAAAAAAAGGTTTTGTACAATGAACTGTAAACCTCTAAGGGTGAGATACAAAAGACCCATATGAAGTCTCGCCTCGCGGTGGAATCTAACATAACCTATCCTCACACAAAAATTATTGTGTTACCATCACGCAACTTTCTTCCTATTTTTCAAAAGAAATCTGTATCTCTTCTCGATATTTCTGAAACGATTAGTTTGGTCTTATATACAGAATGTTCCATTGGAAACGGAAAAACTTCAACGGTGGGTGGAGCTCATCAAGTTGGTTTTGAATATATCATATTTGTAGGGTCTCACAAGTTGTACATCCCAAAAACTTGGTTTTCTGTTTCGAGCCAGGAGCTATTTCACTTCCAGTCAGCTGCTTATGATCTATGAGGCACAGATCCGACCTGTCCTGGAATACTGTTTCCATATTTGGAGTGCAGCACCCAAACATACCCTGAAACTGTTGGATTCTGTCCAAAAAAGGGCAATTCGTCCTGTGGGTAAGGCTCACAAACTCACTTACTTCTCTGGAATACCGTAGAAAAGTTGTCGATCTGGCTCTATTCTATAGATATTTTCATGGACGATGCTCTTCTGAAATATCAACAATTGTTCCTCCCTTGGCAGTCCCTGCGAGATCAACCTGTCGAGTTGAGGCTTTGCACGACCCCTTCGTGGTCACTTTGGAGACCTGCAGGACATCTCTATCCAAAGACTCGTTCATCCAACGAATAGCGAGGCTCGGGAACACATTACCAAGGAAGGTGTTCCCCGAGGCATATAACCTCCAAAAATTCAAGAAGAACAGCAATTCCTACCGTATTTTCCTTGGTTCTCGCGATGTCCTCTGAACATTACAGAATATCGCTTCTCGTGGGAATCAGAACATAAAAACAAATATAATGGTGTTTCATCAATTTTGATCAATTCTTCGTGAGGACATAAATTACGAACCACCCAGTATATTCTTTTGAAATTTAGTAGGCGTACACGATTCCTACTTTTTCTACCCAAGCAACTCACCTATCAGTCATAAGAAAAATCCATGTCCGGATTAACGAAAAATCATCATATTTCTAGATCCCAAAAGGAACAACCTGTATTTTCAAATTTTCAAAATCCGCTTACATATTTGGAAAGTACACAAAAAGTTCAATCCGAATGATGTACTTTCTATATTCTCGCATATAATTTCACTAAAGAATTTCTGATTTTGAATTTGAGGTTTCATGCATTTGAATAGGTAAAAATGGAATGTTTCCCAATCGAATAACAAAATTTGTCACAAACCACCCTGTATATCCATTTGGAATTCCGTACACAAGTTCTCCTTTCTCTACCTTGGGCAAAAAAAGAAGAAATCGTGTACCAAATTCCAAAAGAATATACTAGGTGGTTCTTAAGTTATGTCGTCACATACATTTAAACAAAATTTATAAAACACCCTATATCTTGGATATAAAACTGGAAAGATCCTACTAATATGGTATATTCAGAACCACCTCGATGAGCTCTACCCACCGTTGACATTTTACCGTTTTCCAATGGGACACCCTGTATAATAAAGGTAATATCTTCTGGGCATCAACTTACAGAGTGTTGATGATGTACAGGCCTATCGTCTTCTTCCTGTTCGTCGTATCTAGATCGGTACTGTTCCGGATAATACCTGTCGGAATATACCAAAGTAATGTTGGGTTTTCGTTGATGCTCTTCTAAATTGAGAGGTTTGTACAGGTAATCATTCACGAAATGATAATCTGTGGATTTTTCACAAACGTTCTCACCGCCTGGTGGCATGCAAATCAAATGAACCTGGAACAAAATAAAAGATAATACTCATGAGGTATAAGGTACGTATCTAATTTGTACACTTGAGAGATAATTTCTTGGACTCTTGAGTGCCATTTCGAATAGTCACTCGTACTCATAGCTCTATAAGACGGTGTCAAATTGATATCTACTTATTGTAGTGTTTTTTCTCGTGTTGCTGACGTCATAAGAACAAGTAAACTTTATATAAATTTGTTCCGGAGTGTGTCGTTTACGAGAATGAAGAAAACGGTCCACTTAGCGTTCAGGAAATATTAACAAAATCATGCATTTCTCATATCCATCGTATAGGTATTGCTTTGTATCTCGAAAGCGACCAATTAACGGAAATACATATCATTCCATTGAGTTCATAGCAAGTATTTTTATTCTATAGGTATCTATCGTTTCTGACAGTTCTAATAGTTGATTGAATTTCGGTGCTCAAGAAATTTTTAGGTGAGTTTATTAAATTTATATTTCACATTTGGAAGTGATTCGATTTCATATTATTGTTCATGTAGTTTATCAACTATGTTCAACCTCTGAAGAAATATATAGGCGGCAATTATGAGATAGTATTCCATAATACCAAAACTCCACAAAGTAAGAAGAGGAATGAGGAAGATGAAAAAAAACGGAGTGATAGCAGTTAGAAACAGAATAATGGATATATCCATTCTTCCATCCACTATAGTAGATATGAACAGTGGATACAAAGCCTAAGATTTGGGCACACGAACTATGTACCAATGCTAACAACGATAACTCCATGATTTTGTCGTTAGTATAGACATCAAATATACAGTATGATTCAAATGTATGGAATAAATTCATCTCAAAACAAGACGACTTCCGAAAAAAATCCAAAAACTAGACTTCAGAACTTTATTAATTGAATGTATTTTTTTAAATAGACGACCCTTCGTTGTTCAATTCTCAGTAGCAGACCTCTGCAAGATTCAGTTAATCAAATGATAATCCATTTCAATTTCAATTTTCTCATGCAAAATTTTGACTGTTGAATAGACGATCAGTAGACCTTTCAAACGAGGTGTCACATGACCCCTGTTTTCATTTGAAAAAATCGTTCAATACGTCATTACTCCAACACCGGTGACGTAACATCTCTCATATGGATATCATGAGATGAGGCTTCGAAAATGAAACCTCACGTGTTTTTGGAATTTTTTAAAATGTCGCCCATTTCTGAAATAATGAATTTATTCCATACATTTGCATCATACTGTATATCTGCTATAGGTATTTCATATTATCCGACCATTTTTTCGGTCTACAGAAATGTAGTATTTGTCAATAATCCAAAATATTATTTAATTATGTAGATTTGTTATCATGATTCGGTCTAATAAATTTCTGGGCTACACCATCACCATTTCAAATTTATATTTCATTCAATAGTTTCCGGAATAACTCAAAAAATGGAAACGGTGTTCCATAATCCCCGATTCTACTCTATAAACTTTCAGACTGGCGGCATTGGATCCTCTCAAATGATAAATATCTAGGGAGCACTCTAGCAATTTTAATTTAGATCTCTGTGCAAACAGATTTCATCGAAAATTTTGAAATTCCCAGACTCCAACCGCTCCAACGCAATTTTCAGGACACATGTATCACATTCGCCATATTTTAAAGCCAGTATTCACAGGATCCAAAGAGAAATATGATCAGGATGTTTCCAGAGTAACATAAAGTTTTTATTGAAGTTTTTCACCACATAAACTACTCCTAGTATGGATAGTTTCAAAATACATCTCGATCGACACTTATCAGCTCCTTCGCCACAACTTGAAGTCATTTATTACAATTATTTCAAAATTTCAGACTGTCGGCATTGGACCCTCCAAGGTACATTGGAGCACTCTAGCGTTTTCAATCCCGATCTCTGTGCATGCATATTTCATCGAAAATTATGAACTTCCCAGACTACAATTTTCAGGACACATTATGTATCGCCTTCGCCATATTTTAAAGCCAGTCTTCATAAGACCCAAAGAGAAACTATAATCAGGTTGTTCAAGAACATGATAATTCTTAGTTCCCAGAGTAACTAAAAAAGTCTATAGAAGTCTTTCAAAATTCAAATTACCCCTAGTATTAATGGATTTAAAATGATTCTCGATCAACACAGTGAAGGTGAATTTATGCACACTGCTTCTTCATTAATCTGTTGCTTTCATTAGCTGTCATTACATTTATTTTTATTTAGGGACTGATGCCTTTATGCACTACCTTTTCTCAACTCCAAACTCTTCTTCATTATCAGAACATATAGTCCTCAGCGTACTTAACCCTATGAAAATGCTCTAATCTCTACTGCTCATATTATTACAATAAGAGTAATCTATTCATATTGTTTTCAAAGTCTAATTTGAACAGGCAACTAGAATTTTCTGAATGTTCAACCACATTTTGGGAAAAAGGAAAGGAGAAATTGTTTTTCTGATTTCTGACTGATTCGCGCCTGCCTAAGTCACACTTTCACTTGTATTCGTCGTTAGGAGATAATAGTTGGTCATCTTTTAGGGAATAGTTAATGAAAGATGGAATATATTTGGGTGCATGAATGTTTGAACGGAAATACCAACTTTCATCTCATTAGTGGAATCGTTAATGATTGTGAAACTACCGCGTGCATAAATCTGCCTTTAACTGCCTGGATTTGGAAGAAATTGGAGTTTCAATAAGAACCCTCGCCACAATTTCAAATCATTTATAAAAGTTATTTTAAAATGTCAGACTGTCGGCATTGGATCCAATCAAATGATATATAGGAACCCTCAAGTTATTTCAATTTCCAATTTTTGTGTAGATTCTATCAAAAACTTTGAAATTCCCAAATAGCAATGCATTTTTCGGGATACAGTTGTACCTCCGCCATTTTTCAAAGCCAGTTTCAAAAGGTCCAAAGAGAACTATAATCAAGATGGTTATGAAAATAACACAAGATCAATAGAATATCAATAGATCATTTCTGAGTTCTCAGAGTAACAAAAAAAGTTCGTAGAAGTCCTTGTTTGTGAAAAGATTGAAAGAATTCAATTCAATCATTCCAAAATATGAACTTTCCCCAATATTCGTTGTAACTGATTAGAACGTTCTTATTGTGTCGTGATACGGTTTTATGTACCTGTATGCTTATTTTATTCACAAGAAAACATTGGTTTGACCTTGTTATCATTATGGGTAAGTACCTGATGGAAGCTGAATCCTTCTGGACATATCCAAGAATGTTTGGTGTTCTCCTGGCAATAGTGAAATACTTCACAATCCAATTCTACGTCAGCATAATAACCGGTATTTTTTCCATTGCAGTGGAATTTGGACTGTGGCAGCAACAAGCTCAGCCTGTCTGGTTCTTCTATTTCTTTCTCTTCTTCTAGTTGATTCACTTCCTACAATTATATTAATCATTGTATTATACTGAATTATTGTCTGAATCAGTGTGATCAATATTAGGGTCACAGGAAGTGTACTCAGATATATATAGTTTTCATGACTGAGATGTACTCCAGGAATTGAATTAAATACCATTGACAATTTTATTGAACCAATGCACTGAAACATATAAATGACATTGAAAATTACATATTATTTTGAACGAAAATCTCGAATATCTCAATCTTGTTGATGACAGAAACAGTAGCTATTCAAAAACGAATGTGGGTGCACCAAACAAATCTGAAGGGTCTTTGGTAGGCATTTTTTTAATGGCATGCTATGTATATCAGCACATTTTTTCAAGCATTCTCATGACCAATATCTGTCTCTCATATATTATTGACTACGACTGAAGCACTTGAATGTAATGATTTTATTTCTAAGAGCCATGTCATCGCGATTGAGAAATTTAATAAGAAAAAATCATAATGCTATTTGATGAACAGATGTTCGATATTCCTGATTCATTTTCATGCCCTAAAATATTCGAATAGAACACTCCGTATTTTTCAGAGGAAGGATTGAAGTGAGGCTTTGGCAACAATTTTACAGCTAGTAGCATCACACTTTTCAAGAACAAATAATGTAATCATTTCGAATCAATTTGTTTGTATTGTAGAACTATCAATTAGGCTAAAGATGGTCTTTTATAAGATCGAAACATGTCCCTTCTGATTGTCTAACAACACCATTGAAATTTGTCGAGCATTTCTTCCTTTCTTTTACAAATTTCACTTGAGCATAATGGACTTCTACCAAAGATTACCTCGTATTTTCATGACCATATCAACTTACCTATGCAAAGGTTATGAGACGGATGATTTTCGAATGGTCATTCCTAACCGTTTTCGATTTATCGTATTCTGTAAATTTTTGGTTGCTCATTTTCACTGATACACATGTGCCATAAAAAAAGCATGACTTTTTTTTAACTTTTTTAGTGTTCTCATATTATCACATGGAGCATTCTGAATATTCCACATGGAAATATTCAATTAATCTTCGAATTCGTTCAAATCAATGAAATTTCAATCAGATATCCGAAAATGGTTAGGAATTGCTACAGGAACACACATACAGAAGATGTTCGTATTCTAATACTATATCACATAAATGAGGTACTCTATCTGAATCGAAAGAAAAACGATTCAAGAAGTTTCTAATTGAAAAATATTTTTTGTCTCATCGAGTTCTATCGATTCCTGGGGTCTGGAGTAAAGGGAAGAATAATTATTCTGGATCTTGAAAAAAGAAATCAGCATCATATTGTAGTTCAGGATCACATGTATGGTGAATTGGTGTATTCAACTATTAGGTATTATACTCCGTGTTTCTTTCCTACTGTGTAAACGTGCGGTATTTCAAGTTGGGCATTTATTTTGGGCAATAAAATCGATTAAACTTTCAACGCTTTCTAATATAAATGAGCTGATTTTCAATTCCTCGATTAAGTATTCACAGTATTCGATTTCTATCACTATTATAGTTCATGTTTATTTTATTGATGTTGATCATATACAATGTGTACATTGATTTTTAATTTCAATTAAGAAGAGCAGATTGTTAAAAACACCAGGAGGTCAGTGATTGAACAGTGCTCAACTAATTTTCTAAGGTGTTACTTTTTCAGCAACAATCTGGATGGTACCCATACTTCCCGGACGATTTTTCTTCCTGGACTAGGCCGGAAAGAACTATATGATAATCAGATATGACTGTGGATATCTTGGTATCCAGTTGATGGAAACCATAGTAACGACATAACGTATTGACATTGAAATATATGACAATTTTCTTTTGAAATGTTCACATGGTTTACGATAGGGCAAGTGACTGGTTGATCCTTCCCAAATTCTACGGAACTGGCGGAATTGCCATTTCATCATAATTTTTCCATTCTCCAACACCTCCTACGTAGATATCGTACTTCATCTTAATAGCGGAAAAATTTCAAGATATTTCAACTTGAACATGATGCTGCACAATATTTTGGTTTTTTTGTGCATCAATTATGTCGATATTTTGGATCATTGCATTCCATTTATCAATCAAATGGAACTTCAATCATAACATAACAGACACGAGCTGTTCAATTCAATTTTTTGTTGTTATGGATCGAACTTTTATTTGATTAATGAATGCAATACATTGATACAAAATATCGACATAATCAATACACATCGAATTCAAAATAATTGGGCAGCATTATGTTCAAAGTTCGAAATATCTTGAAAAAGACCTTTATTGCTATGAAGAGGAAGTCTGATATTCAAATAGCATTGGAGAATCGAAAATTTGTAATAAAATTGCAATTCCCGCCAGTGGCGTAGAATTTGGGATGGATCAACCATTCACTTGCTCTTGTCGTACTCCTCTGGTAGTAGCCAAAAACGTTAATTCAACATAATTGAGTAGTATCTACACTAGCCGCCAAAAATGACAACGATAGGTCAATTAGTTTCCAAAGTACCAGGTACATATAATTTTTGAATTTTCAAATAACTGTAACTCAGTGTGTAGCCTCATTTAATCTAGGTGGAATATACCTGTATTTGTTCTCCACGTCTGACGAACTGCTGCTGCTGATGTTGCTGTGGTCTCCTTTCAAATTTTGGTGGATTCGTTGGGTAAATCTTATTGCCTGCCGCCCTTACTGGAATCGGATAGTTCTGGTTCGGTTGCAGCGTCGTTTTTAATTGTATAGGGTAGTTTTGGTTAGCGTATGTAGGAGCTCTGTCTTGACTTTGTTCAGGTTCACTGAAACAACAATAATTGGTTTACTAATGATCTCTAAATTTCAAAGCCTACCAAGTGTCGATATATCATCGAATTCATGTCACAGCCAACTTATTCTTTTTGAATAAAAAGCAATTCAACAGCGAATTAAGGAATGAAAGCCACTTTGTGATACATGGTTGGATAGAAAATTTCAAGGCGAAAAAGACAGATTGAAGAAATGTACAGGATGAAATTTAAAAAAAAAGTTGGGGTTACTTCCGGTCAAACAGGTGGTTGAAAAAAATTGTCGTTAAGTTCGTGAAGTGCGCTACCATTTATTATACCGGGTGGCTACGGAAGTATTGCCTACGGAATATCTCAGTTATTGTATGAAGTAGGTTTGTGAAATTTGGAGCGTCGATATAATGACATAAGAGCTAGAATTTGAGCATATTGACATGTCGAAGTTAACTTCCGGTCTGACCGGAAGTAACATCAACTTTCTTATTTTAAATGGAAACCCTATTTTTTTTTTCTTTTCGCTTTATTCAGCATTCAATTCCCTTTCTAATGACATATCACAAGTTGGTATCTAACCAGAAACTAGATCAGAAAAAAATTATTATTGAAATTCACCGAGTAGGCCGTGGAAGCAAAATGAAAGCCAAAAATTGAAAAGTTGACTATGGAAACCATACGTCACTTGATAACAGTTGCTACTACTGTGATATTCCATTTTCATTCGTCGGCGTTATAAAAAGCCGCCAAAAAAAATATTGGAAAAATTGGGAAAAAACAATACTCTGTAGGTCCATAACTTGAATAGGAACATAAACTTTTTCTTGCCTGTACTATTCAGCATAACCATTCCTTTCTAATGATATAATAGAAAGTCATTTTTTGAAATGAAATACCAAAAAATCCAATTATTATTGTTTTTTTCCCAATTTTTCCAATATTTTTTTGGCGGCTTTTTATAACGCCGACGAATGAAAATGAAATATCACAGTAGTAGCAACTGTTATCAAGTGACGTATGGTTTCCATAGCCAACTTTTCAATTTTTGGCTTTCATTTTGCTTCCACGGCCTACTCGGTGAATTTCAATAATAATTTTTTTCTGATCTAGTTTCTGGTTAGATACCAACTTGTGATATGTCATTAGAAAGGGAATTGAATGCTGAATAAAGCGAGAAAAAAAAAATAGGGTTTCCATTTAAAATAAGAAAGTTGATGTTACTTCCGGTCAGACCGGAAGTTAACTTCGACATGTCAATATGCTCAAATTCTAGCTCTTATGTCATTATATCGACACTCCAAATTTTACAAACCTACTTCATACAATAACTGAGATATTCCGTAAGCAATACTTCCGTAGCCACCCGGTATACCCCCTGTGGATTTCAAAATTTTATCTTTTCAAATAAAAAAACTACAGGCTGCTACTGTGAAACTGAAATATGGACCTATCGTCACTATGAAAAAAGCACCTATATTTTCAATCCTAATCAATTAGTATGATTATGACAGCATACAAGTCGTTATTACTAGATTCCAATGCCATTTCTGTGAATCTCGCATCAGAACAGTCTTTATTGGCTATAGTTCATAAAATGACGAGAACTACTAATCTTACGCCTTGAAAAGGAGTAAATAATGGTAGGTTCTGAAGCTTGTGATGGAAAAAAAGGTTTATATTGGTCTTCCATTGAGAAATTGTCTGTGGAATTCGAGAGCAATCCGGCGTAATTTGTTATTATCATTTGAACTACATCCAGAGAAATCCTCATGAAACTGAGTGACTTCGCACTCTGACTTCTGCAAACATTGGTTCAACTTCGCAGGTTCTTTATGGAAAATTGTACGAAAATTTCGCGGAATATCAATTTCTTTTGATTTTTCATCTAAGGCGTGCTAGAATGGTTTTCATGTTCTTTCCATAATTTTGTTTATGAATATTTTTTAGCTATAATTTTGATGAGGATAGTTCTTCGATGAACATTATCGGAATCATCCTACTTAACAAGGCTTCAGAGCCGGGATTGGCGCAGTGAAAGAGCGTCCGTCTCACGGCCGCAAGGTCGTGGGTTCGATTTCCAGCACGGGCAAGGAACTTTTTTCAATATTTTATTTACGAATTGAATATTGTAAAGTTTCGGAGCATCGGCTGGGGATAGTCCTGCACGATTCGCTGTTGCGTTCCAATTAACAGTGCTGCTCCTAAAGTGGCGCATGGAGTTAGTAACAAAGCCTACACAGAACACGCAGAAAGATATGATGATGTGGTTGTGAGCATCAGAGAAGAAGTAGGATGGTGTATGTAGGTGGGTGTAGAAAACTACCAGCTGAGCGTGAGAGCGGGCCAGCTGCTTAAGTAGACCTCGGTCTCGGGGGTTAACGATGATAGTTAGCAGGCCTGCCACTGCGCATATGGTAGTGAGTACATTACTAGCCTACAAAACACAGCTGAAAAACTCTGAAAAGAGAGCTGAGGGGCGGTGCCTGAAAAGGATGTTAGCCAGCTCTCTTGAGCGAACCACATCAGTCATTGAAAACACTTGGGGTTGGCAAAAAGGTCCCATTGGGGACTAGTTGCTGACGTGGAAACGTCCCCCACCAGTACTAGTAACAAAGCTTCAAGGCTTAGGAAAGCTCAACTGCATATTTCTCATGAAGAATCCACTATGTGTCCGATCAGAGTTTGTTGAGTTTGAATGTTTAGTTGTAGTTTCAGGAATAATAATCGTACCTATGATGAAAAAACTTGAGAACAAACGATTTATCGATTTCAAATGCCTCTAGTAGACAAATATATAGGGTGTTTTCATAATTACTGAGGTAGGGACCGTCTTCAAGTATTTAGTTCTCGAGATACAGGGTGGTGGAGTTGTGAAATAGATTTTTTTGTCTGCAGTAACTCATGAACGGCTGAATATTTTTTTATTTATAATTCCGTATAGAATGAGGTCATGCATAGAATGATGAGTTTATATTTACTTGTCGATTTCATCGTCATATATATATTCTTCCTCTTCTCTACTGGCTACTGTTGTGGGTCTGAATCCTCTGTTCGTCGATCCAAATCCATTAATTCGGAGATCATTCGTGTATCCTGAGGTTGGAGTAACAGATGGTTCTGGCAAAGCGTGAACTGATACTATTCCCAGGCAGATTAATGGAAGAAATATTATATTCATCCTGAAAATATAGATTGATAATTATATTATCAAGAAAAGTGTGAATGACTGTATATATCATCACGACAGGTATTCCTTGGGAAGAATGAATAATTAAATGGGTTCTGTTATACTCGTATAATGTTTTTTTTTTGGGGAGGGACCTACAAATAAATAAATTTTATTCAATATTGTAATAATATCATGATAAATAATTTTTGGATTTCCACTTCATTCACTCCACAGGATTAAATGGTGGTAGTGATCTGGGGCAGAATGAACGGCTGGGGCAGTTCATTTTTCAGAAAATTACTGCTACATTATCATGACTCAAAATGTAATCTTATATTGTGCATGTCATTTGGGTTTGTATCAAATGTCACTGTCATTTGTCCTGTTATTCTGTCAACGTCTGTTGCTATGCTTGACACTTCGTTGCCTTCTCCTCGACTTTTGTCTGGCAATTTTAAGATGAAACTCCTTTGAGTGAATTATTGCTGGTTTTTCCCAATTTTTGTCAATGTTGAATCTAATGATAATTGGGTTCTTTTGGCTGTTCAGTCGGTTCAAAAAGTTTTAATATTTTTACCGGATTGAATTTTTGGCCAAATGACCCTGCTACTCGAATTTCAATTTAATTAATTATGTGATTCCACGTGTCCTTTTATAGGTATGTTTTTTCCTAAATATGTTATATTATTCTTGATGTAAACCAATATCTTTACAGGTACTGTATACTGTGTCTGAAGATGGCTGTTCGAGCCGAAACTAGTCACAATAAGTAAAACTTTTGTAATTAAACTTTGTGGTCGACCGACTTAGTGTTTTGTTTTTTTCTTTGAAAAAATCTGGACCACTATAAGAAGGATGGATGGTTTCCATGACTTATATAACATTATCATATATTTTTTTTTAATCATCACCATTACTTTTTTTTGATCTGCTAAATCAGATTATTCATATATCTTTCCCATCATTTGTTTCATTTTTTTTAACAGAACTACTAGACATTTTGTATATTTTTTCATCACGTCTTTTGACTTGTCCTGAAGTATAGGTTTCAACCTGTTTGGACAGTGAATATTTTTTTTCAAATGTTTTCATGCTATTGCCCCGTTGCCTAATATTATTTATGAAAACTCCATTATTCTTGTTTCTGTCATGTATATCGGGTAATTGAAAGAGAAAGTGTAATGCAATAGCCGGGGCTTGTATGTATGTAATATTTGGAGCAAAAAAGTTCCGTTTAAAAGTGCCTGCGGTTCTCCTGATATATGCGAACAAGTGCAAGCTGAAAGAATGCACCGATTACGCAATGGAAGCTATGTGAGATCTGGGAAAATTTTGGTACAAGACTCGTTATGATCACGTAATCTCCTTGGAAAAATATATCACAATATGTAATTACGACAGTTTTCAGCCGATTTCAACAAATAAACAATAATAATTGATGAACCATATTAGTAGGTACGTCAACCAAGGACTTTATTTCCAGATGTTTTTCGTACTCTGATGAATTCAGCTTATTTTCAATTCCCTAATGTTTCACAATTGATATTGTTGTAATATTTCTTCTACCGGTTAGCTGCATGAAAAGCAGTAATTATGCATCAAAAATCGATTAAAACGTGCAACGCCATGATTTCGATGAAATTGTAAAACATTTTATCGAAAAGAAGTAACAAATCTGTTATGCCATAGTTGATGTTGTGATATTTTCCATGAAACAGCCCGTTTAACATAGAAAACAAGAATTACGTTATTTTTTACAGATTTTTCCTGGTCGTGCGGTTCTTACCAAATTTGGATCCGTATGAATAACCATAAATATGATCATTTTTTCAGAGACGAACATCCTCTTGAATGAAAAAGATGTTGATTTTTTATGAAATCATATTGTCATAATTCACCTTGAATTTACCATTTGTATGTCCAGATTTTAGTTTGTTCAAGTTCAAGATTAATTATTAATGAAAGCATCCTGTAACTCATTTGTTTGCCAACGTCTCCATTCGACACTGAGAAGTTTCAACAATGATATCTGAAGGCAATTTGTGAGAGAAGAATAATTTCCATTTTTTATGTTGAAAACGGGAGGAGATTCGTTTCCAAAACCTCCAAAGATACCTTAGTGAAAATTTGATATGTTTTCTATAGGTATACCTATATTCCTCTTCTCCAAAGCTTTTTCAAAACAAAATGCTAGGCTCGCTGATAAAAACTTTTCAAAATGCAGTGATATTTTGTGGCAAATCATATGGGAACTATAGGAGGCACAATCCCAAAAAATCTGGAATAATTCCATGTTTATATTGAAAACGGGAGAAAATTATTTTTTGGAACGTCCAAATATAAGTTGAATTTCATGTAATTTCTTCTTCGAACATTTTCCAAGGAAGGTGTCACCATAGATTAACGACTGTGTCACTGACTATATCGATTGAATTCTCCTCTTATAGGTTATAAATATAAATATTTTGAGCTCAGTAACATATTAGGGCGAATCATCTAATTAGTTTTTACTGCAAGTTCATTGAATTAATTCCTACTAATATTTTCATTTCTTCACGAGAAAACAAAAAAAAAACTGTAGAGAAATGAATATACCACATCCTCGTTTGACCTACAGAAAGTATTTACTAGCATAATTTTTTCGTGAAAATAATCCAAATTTTGAAAAATGAAAGGGGTGTTTTGTTATAGCATACAAGGCTAATTAGTAGGAATGATAATACCTACATAGTAGGTATGCTGAATAATTATCATACATAATAATAGCCTATTTCATAGTCCAGTGAAAAAGTAACACAGCCAATTTAGTATGCATAATAAGTAGTACGATTTCGTCGATTTCAGTTGTCTGCTTGTATGTGAAATTGAACAATGAATGATTTGAACATCTGTTCAAGCAATAAATACGAAAAGAAACCAATCATCAGACCATTAAAGTTTTACTCGTGTCTAAGAATTTTGCACTCGAGCGTGTGCAGATGATAATTGTATGAATAACATGCGCATATTTTATATTTAATACTTTTATTATTGGATTTTTTATGATTTTAGAAAGTGAAAAGCTATATAGAATCATTTTCAGTAGTTTAATTATAATCATAATGATATAATCACTGAGGAACAAGCAGGCACGTATATCAACTAGAATATAATTCAAGTTATTGTTTATCTCTTGATGGTAAAATACCTATACTTGAACAAAAGACTACTATGGATTGGATCACAATGTTGATAAACAACATATACAGGATGATCTATCATCAGCTCACCATTGAACTTTGGTAGATAACCGCTGATGAAATACATTTTCCAAATTGTTTGTTTTTGTCCTTACTACCAGGTACCTTTGTAGAAATATTGAAATAATACTCTTCATTTTATTGACAGAAACGAGGGAAAAATTCCAAAAAATCTGAAGAAATTACAGCAATGACTGTCAACTGTTGAAAATAATTATCGGAATATATGGGTTGAGGATCAGGGCCAGATTTAAGCATAGGCGCACCACAAAAAAGTACAAAATAATGTCACTGGAAGTAGCCTTGCTTAGTATAGAACACAACATTCTGAGACAAGTTAACCATAAGAAAATCATAAACGCCTCCATTATGGAGAAGCTCAGATGAAAACCAATCAGCAAGAGTTACTGAAGTGAACATGATTCGCAGTACATTCAATATTTGAAAAAGATTTATTCAGGATGTACCTTCGAACTGAAGAAGAAGTACTTAATATTGACAGGTATTTTTCTTGTTGACTCACCAATGTACATATACATTAAAGTGTTAAAGTTATGTTATATTATAACGATGTTGAAGTTAATCAAAAATCACCACTTTGCACCTAAATTTTCAAATATTTTTTCTGATGAGAGGCCACGGCCCCATACTTTCATGGGGGGTACTCCATACCCCCTGATTCTCCACGATCCCAGGGTCTGCACAACAGGTGTAGCCTAGGGGACTGTATTATCCAAATCTGGCCCTGAGTGAATATTATATATATCGTTCTATAACTACAACACTGTTTTTTAAATCACAACTTCATTGAATGCTTTCTTCGATCTGTGTAATTGAGGTGATATAAAATTTATCGGTTTATCTGAAAAGTAACGTTATGCTCACATTTCTTAATATTATTTTGTTACGCTTGACTTCGTACTGTTGCATCCAGCGAAGCTTATCATTAGAAGGACTAATTCTAGAAGAAATTTATCAGTTGATCAATTATTGAATCGTTCCTATAGGCAGTAGAGTATAGAAATGAACCGAAAGGTTTCAATATCGATCTGTATTAATTATTCATACACCAAGATTGTGAATAATATGCGGTTATTACCCAGGAACCAAGATTATATCCCGAGGTTTCAGCCGAGGGGTATAAGATACCGTGGTTATAATATTCTTTTTTCTGTGACGGGAAAAAGTTTGGCATCTCATCCCTTTTGGCAGGTTATAAAATGTCACTTTTCATAAATTACTTTTTTCCCGTGGGAAAAAAGTGAGTACTTTTTTCCCGGATATATATCACATATATACTCGCATATATATACTGTTTATGGCTTTTGTTGTGCTATAGTTCCGAAAAATTAGACAATAATACCGTCTCCGAGAAAGAACTGTCCTTTTATCTTCCATTCGACTTCGCGGTTACGTATATTACTAAACAACCACCAAATTCGCGATTTTTTGAAATCAAATCACAGAATTAGACTGACAGAAGTGACATCAGATATTTGATTACTTCAAAAGAATAATAAAGATGCCTACAACGCAGGTGTCCCTACTGTTAAAAACTTAAAATTTCACGTCGATAGGTAATTTTCAGATTTCAAAATAATGTAATATCTTCTCAATATTGATTCGTCCTTTCTTCTGTCACAGAAAAAAATACTGTATTATACACGAGAAAAATATTAGATTTTAGCTCACGGTTTTTTCTCCAGCTCCAACCTGGAGCTAAAATCTACTACTTTTTTCCCTTGTATAATAAATAAATAACTATTACTA